TTTTTAATCACAGAAAATAAAGCGTGTAGAGAAGTTAACTTGGTGCCATTGGGCAGAGAGTGAGAGCCCAGCAAATCAGAGAGATCAGCTTGCCCACAGCAGTGGTGACGACTGCGGAGAGTGGGTGAGGCTGGGGCAGGAAGCAGGCCAGCCTGCCAGAGCCCAGGAACAGGTGAGGGGCAAGAGTGAGCTCCTCACCCTGAATTCTCAGGGGACACAGGCATGCAGGAGCTGTGGGGAGCACAATCATCAGACCTGCCCTCGTTCCCCTGGCTTCCTCCATATCTGACATGGTCCCAGGGCCCCCTCTCCCTGTGTTTCCTCTCTGCCCTGCTTTCTTCCTGGCTGCCCTCCCAGGACTCATTTTTGGTCCTGGTCAGGAGGAGTCTTGAGATAACTATAGGCCTATTAATAACTCCTGTGAGGTTCAACCCGCCGTTTGTTGAGACCTCTGAGCTTAGTCAGAGCCCTCCTCCTGCTGGGACCTGAGAGAGGGCTGGAGGGAGCTGACAGTGCAATGGCAGTTTTTCCTGGGGCTGCCGCTCCAGGACCCACTGGCAGGTATCTGCCAAATTTGAGCTTTCTTTTGGGTCTCTGGAGTTCTGAGGTGTGACTTTCCCTCTGAAGACAGGTGGAGCCCCTGGTGGGTGCCTTAGCCTCAGCAATGGGTCCCCCTGAGCTGGGAGCTCTTCTCCACCCTCAGTGTGCTAGGACACCTCACACCTGGTCCCGTGCATTCTGGCTTCTGAAGCCCACAGAGAGGGTCTGTAGAAATTGCTAGATACGAAAGGGCTACAAATAAGTCACAGGAAGTGTATTTACATAACTCAGTGGTTTTCAGCCATTACATTTACTTCAGCAAAAGAGATATTTAAAAATGTGAATACCCTGTGTCACCCTGCGGAGATTTGGGTTTATTTGATGGGGCAGAAGACAGGCATCTTTGGTTTTTTGTTTGTTTGTTTGTTTGATTGTAACAGGATCTTGTGCTGTGGTCCAGGTTGTAGCAGCACAGTGGCATGATCATGGGCACTGCAACCTTGACCTCCCAGGCTCAAGGAATCCTCCCTTCTCAGTCTCCCAAATGGGTGCGACTATGGACCTGCACCACCATGCCATGCTAATTTTTGTGTTTTGTAGAGACAGGGTCTCACTATTCCACCCAGGCTATTCTTAAAGTCCTAACCTCAATCTGTACTCCTGCCTCTGCCTCCCACAATGCTGAGTTTACAGACATGAGCTACTGTGCCTGGTCCTGTATCTTTTAAGAGCTTCCCTAGTGCTTTGAATAGGCACCCAAGCAAAGAAGGCTTTGCTTGCAGAGGCTTGTGGAACCCTGTTGAGGCTGCATCTTCTTCACAGCCGTCAGATTGTTCCCTGAAGTGTCTGCTTAGCAGTGCACAGGCTGTTTACATTGAGGGCTTTGGGGAGCTGTTGGGTTTGGGGGTTGGCTGGGGCGTGAGTGTTGGCTGTGGGATCTGTCACAACCTGGTCCTATGGGACACCCAGTCTAGGATCCTTCTTCCCAGACCACCATCCTGCCTCTCACCACTCCTATGACAGGAGGCCAAATATCATGCTTCCCTGGACAGAGGCATCCAGGTGCAGGACCGAAGTGGGGTGACTCGCATCAGGAGGGGTACAGCTGCTTGCTGGAAGGGTGTTGGGAAGTGTTGGTCCACCAGCTGTCACGTCCTCCTGTTCCTGCTGAATCCCAGCGATCCTCACTTGGTGTCTGGGTTTCAGAAGGGTGTGGCCCTGGGTTCTTGGCTGGCTGAGCTGGTGCTTTTGCAGCCTCTGGGGCTCTTGTATGTGAGGCCTGACCTGAGTTTCTTCAGGAAACTTTTGCCCCTGAGGCTGCCTCCTGCTTAAGAGCAGAGCCTTTGTGTGGAGATCTGGCTGGCCTCCCTAGCGCCCAGCCTGTCCTGTACTGTTATGTCTGGGTTTGAGGCTGTGTGCAGGGGTCTCTTCACATAGGGGAGGCAAGGCCAGTCGTGTGGGTCAGAGTGAAGCATGGCGATCCCAGCTGGCTGTGCCCAGCCTTTGACTGGAGGAGTCTGAGAATGACCAGGCCTGGGGAGCTGCCCTTCCTGGGAAACAGCATGTCCCCTCCCCTACTGTAGAGTTTCTGGATGTGACCCAGAGTGTGCTGGGCCTCTGTAGGATGTGCTGGGTGTAGCCATGTGATTCAGGGTGGGAGGTGCATGGGATCATCTGCTCTGAGCCAGGTAAGGCCTGGACAGGACTGGGGCAGCCCTCGAAGAAGCCAAGTCTGATGGGAGAATAAGCATGGGTAGAGAGGGGACACGGTCACCAGGGCTGTGTGTCACCTGTTCTTGCTGCTTGGTCTGCCCTGGGAGTGAGAACAGAGGTGAAGGCTGCTGCGGACCCTCTTTGGCTTCCTGCAAGCAGGTGTTCACGTGGGGAGCAAGGCGGTTGGGGGAAAAACTGGTCTCTGAGGTGTTGAGTGGTTTTTTTATGTCATTGTCCTTTTTCTGTCTGCTGTCCCCAACAGCTGTGCTGTACCAGCCCATTGACCAAGTAAGTCACTCAGAGCATCCTGGTCCTACGCACCAGTGTTAAGGCCCCTGAAGGGCCAGAGAGGGCTTAGAAGTTTCTCAGAAGACTGAGCCTGGTGTGGGAGGGCACCAGAGTCACTGAGAACAGACCATTTGAAAAGTCAGGCAGAGGGATCCTGGGCCCTGAGTGTGCCTCCCTGGCCTGTGGTAACCATGCCAACAGGGCCAGGGCCTCAATGGAGCTTAGCTACTGAGCTTGGCATTAGGCCAATTGCTCTCTTGGTGGAGGCAGGAACGTCCTGCTTCCCCAACCCCTGTCTTTTGGTCTCCAGGATCCTTGGAGCAGCTGCAGGGTGGGTAGAGGGGTGTCTCTCCCGGCTGTTTGGTGAGATGAGCCTCCACCTGGCTGCCTCTGCCAGGAGAAAAGAGTAAAGACTGAAGCAGGGAGAAAAGCCAGCTGGGGCCCTTTTAGAGTCAACCCTGCTGCTCCGATTCTAATTTTCAGTTCAGATTTTGCAGGCATGAGTGTGGGTCCCTGAGGGCCTGCCCTTTGAATTCTTTCGGTAAGGACTGAGCATTCCCCAGGGGCTTCTCACCGATCCCTGGAAACACATCCCTCAATTCACCAGCTCATCCCTTTCCAGGACCTGCTGAAGCACACACCTGTGGACCACCCAGACTGCCTGCTGCTACAGGATGCCCTCCGCATCTCCCAGGACTTCTGTCTGGCATCAGTGAGGACATTGATCCCACTGGACTGCAGTCACAATGGACTCCCAAGGGGCAGGTAAGCTCAGGGCCCAGCAAGGCCTCACACTCAGGTTGAGGAGCCCAGGGTGGACCAGATCCTCCAATGATACAGGCATCACTCTGTGCCCCTTGTCTCTGCAACCCTGATACCCCATTCCCAGCCAAGGAGACGTCTTCAGTCCTTGGTCACCCTGATTTGATTCCCTGTGGCATTCTGGGCCCTAGGCTGAGAGCTTTAAGCCCAGTGTCTCAATAATCCTCCTAAGAATCCAGTGAGCCAGGAGAGGACACAGGCCCGGAGAATCTCTCCAGGTCTGCCACAGAGTCTTTGAGCTGTGTCAGAGCTGGATTCCTTACCTGGTTCTGGCTGTCTGGAGGTGCCAGACATTGTCCCCTGCACCAGGGAAGTCGGACTGTGAATACCTCATTCTTGAATGCAGACATCTGCCTCTGGCCAGTGTGATGCCATCAGGGTGACCTGGGTGGCTAAGGGAGCAGGACATCTCAGCCACTTTAGATCAGCCTTCATGAGCAAGAGCCAGGAAGGGAGCCCCACAGAGGGAAAGGCTGGTACTAGAGGTGGCCAAGGCCATCCAGGTTGCTGGAACATTCCACATGGACTCCTGGATGTCAAACAGCAGTTTCCCTAGGGACCCTTCTTGATGCAAGGGTGGGGGTTAGCCCAGTGAGGGGAAGCAACACTCAGCATTAGAGGCACAATTCACCCCTGTGTGTCGGCAGCCTGGCCCAGATCAAAGGCTGCATGACTGATAGAGGTTGTTAAGTGGCCCTTAGGAGTGAAGACTGCCTGGGTTCATGCTCATTTGTTACATTTGCGAGCGTGGGGCAGGTCTGGAGAGTGTCTGATGGTGCATAAGGAGCTGTTTCTGTGCAGTTGTTGGTTCTGGTTTGCAAAACCATGGAATGCCAGTAGTTGTTTTGGTCTGGGGATATCTGAAAAATCTCTGGAAGACTTCGAGTAGCATCGGTTGTAGGTCATCTTAACTGTACACTTTCAATACACACACCTACATATTGCAGTTTACGTAGGTCACACAGTGTGTCATGGAGACAGGAAAGACTGGGACAGATGGTCACTGGCCCATGGGAGCCCCCCTAACTCTGAGGGTGGCTGAGGGGAAACTCTGGAAATCCTCATGGAGTAGAAACCATCCAGAGCCCAGGTGAGCGGCATCTGTAGACCCCAGGACACTTCAGCATCCCGGCAAAAGGCAGCCTGGGGTCTCCCATTCCCTGGGTGTATTTTTTTTTAATGTATCTATCATATATGAATTTGGGTTTGGTATTTGGCTCCCTCATTGTGTCTGTTCTGTATTTTTGTGTTAATGCGAATACCATATTGTTTGGATCACTATAGCTCTTCTATGTCATTTTTAATCAGGGAGCATAATACATCCATGTACTTTGTATTTCCCAGTGCTGAGATTGCTGGATGACATAGTAGTTGTATTTTTTCATTTGAGGAGGAACTGCTGACTATTGCTCATAGTGTGTACACCAATTTACATTCCCACCAGTAGTGTCAAAGAGTTTCCCTCTCTGCAAATCTACACTGTTGATTGCCGTTTCAAAATTCTGTTTTTGTTTTTGGCAACATACATCTTATGTGGATGGGGACACTCTCTTAGTGTGGCTTTGCTTTAAATTTTTTTGATGATTAGTGATGTGGACAAGCTTTTCCTTTACCTGTTAGTTCATTTCCTGCCTTCTTTTCAGCAATTTCTATAGGTTCTTTGCCCAAGTTTTGTTGGATTATTTGGTTTTTGTATTTTCTTACTCTGTATTAGTTTCTGGTATATGTCAGATGAATACCTTCAGCGATATAATTCCTTATACTCACTGCCTTGCAGCATCCTCTGCTCATTCTCTCTTCTGCTCAATGACCACTGCCTGTGACCCATTCTTCTCCCTCCCCAGGGCAGGGCCCCGACCTCCTGCCTCCCATGTTTCCTTATACTCATGGAGGCCTGGCCCAGTGCGGGGCCAGCCACATGGCACAATGTCCAGACAGGCCAGTTGGCATGGAAAATGGCATCTGGGGTCTCTGAGTTGATTATTGAATGCAGACTCACCCCGCTCACAACCAGTCAGCACCACTGCCACCCAAGCAAACCACCCGGGAGCCTGGAAGTTGCTCTGCCCACCTGTTGCCATGGGCACAGACACATACCACAGGGAGGACTGACAACAGACCCAGGCCGTCTGCCCCTGGTGCCCAAGGATGACATTCAGGGACCTGAGGATCACTCCAGCCCACCCACCACAACCTGTGTCCTTGTAGGCTCCCACAGGGCCTGAGGACAGACTAATCCCTCCCAAAGAACCCCCACCCCACAAGTGCCCAAGTACTCCATCCAGGGACCTGGGGATAGACCTGCCCTTCCTGCCAATTCTGGCACATGCTTGTACCAGCAGGGGTCCTAACAACAGGCCAGACCACCTGCTGCCAGCATCCAAGCCTGCCATCTTGGAGCCTGGGATCACCCTGCTCTACCCATGAGCACCATCGGGGGCCCCAGGGCAGGTTCATCCCACCTGGCATATGTATGCATGAACTAGAAATGTGTTTGCCTGCCGGGTGCAGTGGCTCATGCCTATAATCCCAGCACTTTGGGAGGCCAAGGCGGGTGGATCACCTGAGGTCACGAGTT